GCTTTTAAGATCTCAGAGTCTTTTATATAAAAAGGTATTTCAACAAAATTAATTCCATGGATGAATTAAAGGGCCAGCATTCAATGCGGTCGTGTTTTAGATTTTCATATATGGGAAAATGAGGTGACTTCGAATATCCAATCCGTTTCCATCCATCCGGGTTTCAAGGTCGAATCATACAGTATCTCCATCCATATACTTAGCATAAAGGGATAATAATGAGTAAGTTTTTGCTTATATTACTATGCATTTCTATTTTCCAACACGAGAAACTCAAGCTCAAAAGGAATGTTGGTTTACCATAATGGCTACCAGGCGTTTGAATTCAGCTACCTGTTTTGATTGTTCAATTCCAATAAACACCCGAAAATAAGAACCTAATGGATTAAGAACCTCTTGGCAGAAAATTGCAATTTTAATAACCCCTTAAATAAGAACCTCTTTAGGCAAACATTATCTAGCAGGTTCTTAAAATATGGGTTAGAGCTTAATTACACAAACCCTGACTCGATTTGAGGATTGCGTACAAATACTGTACTGAATTTATTTACATTTGTTGAGTTCATTACTTACTTATTACAGGTAGTTGAAAGTTACAGTTATACATAATATTATAGTATTTTACATAATGTTAGTTCTTATCAAGCTTATTTATTATTCTTATGATATATATGCAAAACAATAACAACTGTACCTCCCTATTAGCAATGAAGAACCTAGTAATTTAGAACCCTTTTTGTTAGCCTGAGTTCATCCAGCGTTAAACCGGATGTACGCAGGCTACTTTTTAAGGTTCTTATAATTTTCAGATGTTTACTGTATTTGTAGTCGAATTTTGGCAACGATCATATTTTCAAAACATTCATCTTTTTTGATGAATACAATCGGAAGAAATTTTATAATTAATGAACATATTAACCAATTTTGGCAAAATTGCCTCCGAGATCCATTCGCTATGGCAAGGAAAGATGATAACTCGTGGATTGTCTTATTGCACTAGATATCCACGATTGATTTTTTGTTCGTCAAAGTGCTCTAACCACTCTGATCATTGTTTTAAGATCCAACGGCATTTGCTGACGTCATGTTTATATCCACCAATGAAAGATGCCTAGCTGATCACGTGTTTTATTCGACGGACGATGCTGAAGAGCCATCTAAATGTGTCAGCTATTGCTTGAATGCTGGAAGTAAATGCAAGTCTTTTAACTATATCAACGAAGGGAGCGGCAAGTGCCAGCTTAACAACGCCACAAAAGCTGAGGGTCATCTTCGAGAGGATTCCCAGTGTTCTTATTATGAAGTTATATAATAAGTTTTTAAGGGCTACTAGACAGATATATGACAAAACATCGGAAAAGTCACGAAACGTTTTAGCCTTATTTCAATAAGGGTATTATAGAGCGGATTTCGGATTACTGTGCAAGGGCACGGATCACGGCACGGTCACTGGTTCTCGCCTCATAGTGAATCCAAATGAAATTAAGGGTTTTAGAATACACTGCCGTCACTGCGCGGTACAGACACGGCACGAAAGTACACAGTCGTATGAAATCCGCTTTATCACGAACCAACGTATTTTGACACGATATTGATACA